GTCTTCAATATGGACTGAAGCTCAATATCAAAAAAAACAAAGATCCTCACCACTGCTCCAATTGGTAGCACTATGACAGATGGGAGAAGAGACTGAGGTGGTTAATAATTTCAGCTTACTTAGTTCCACAATCAACACTCTTGGAACCAGCTCTTAGGAAATATAAAGATGAACTGCATTAGGAAAATATGCTGTCAGAGACCTCTCCAGAGTCCAAAAAAGCAATGATGTCAGTCTAGAGACTACGGTATGCCTGATCCAGGCCACGATCTTCACAATTATTTGCTATGCATCAGAGAGCTGGACTATGACTAAGGATGACAGAAGAACTGTGGTGCGAGAGAAGAGTCTCAAACATACCACATATCAACAAGAAAAGAAATAAGTCTGCCCTAGAGAGTGAAACCAGGTTGCTCTTTGGAGGCAAGGATTTTGAAGCTCTGTCTCTTTTTGGGCATGTTACCAGGAGGGACCAGTCATTTGGGGGAGATCACGCTTGGAAGGGTGTTGAAAGAGCACAAGAAAGGAAGACCCTGGATGAGATGGATTGGCACAGTAACTGGACTTATGGGGGTAGGTGTGTTGGAGACAGTGAGACTGGCTCAAGACAGGGAAGGATTCAGAGCTACGGTGCATAAGGCTGTATGAATCACAGACAGCTTGAAGGTACCTAACAACAACAAAAACAACAGGTTGACTATAATATAACCTACTGAACAGTTATAGTGATCCAATTAACTGTACAGTTAAAAGTTAAGTCAGAGTGAACCTCAATTCAGTTTTTGAGGCTACAAATCTTTATGGGAAGAAGCTGCCCATTTCTCTCCTGAGGAGCAGCTGGAAGATTTAAGACTGTAATGTTCTAATAGCCTAGTACCTTACACATTTAGCATTATGCTGTGTTTCATATACATTATCTCATTAAGCCCTCACCATAACCATCTAAGGTAGATATGCATTCTTATGCTGGCTTTAAAATTAAGAAATATAAAAAACACATAGGTATCTCCCCTAAATTCATACAACTGGCAAGCTGAGGACACCAAACTTCAACCCAGGTCTATTTGACAAAGGAGTAATTTACATAAACCAGCATTATTAATTAAAAGTAACAGTAATCTGTATAGTTTCTGAAAACATGATGGAACCAAGTTTTAATCCCAGTGGTTCCACTTAACAAATGACTTCTCTGAGTCTCAATTTCCTTATCTATAACATAAGACCACGGGTGATCTAGTGGCAAAAGCTACACTGCAATCTCAAAGACACACGGTTCAAACGCACCAGCTGCTCCATGGGAGAAAGATACGCAATCTCCTCTTATGCGATTTACTGCCTCTGAAACCCTGCTAGAGGGTCAGCTATGAGTTGGTTCCAAATCAGTGGCACACAGAAATGTAAAGGAAGGACAAAGAATAAGTACGACATAGGTCAAGTCCATGATATAGAGTAGAAATTCAACAGTCACTTTTAGTATTCCAGTTATAACTCTGCAAAGTGATTCTTGTGGTGCAACAGGTTAAGAATTAGGTTAAGAATTAATGTTCACCAAAAGGATGGATATTCAAACCATCAGCCACTCCATGGCCAAAAAGCTGTAGCAATCTACTTTGAATCTACATTAGAAATAATAGACTCACAAAAATTAATCTTGTGTGGGCAAATGTTTAGGGAACTATGTGGCTAACCCAAAAGCTATGCCTCTCTGATGGTTTGAATCTACCAACAGCTCTGAGGGAGAAAGATAGGCAATCTCTTCTCAGGCAAATTACTGTTATGGAGGGTTAGTTAGGAATCCGCTCTGACTCGGAAGAGTCAGCTATGAGTCAGGTCTGACTCAAAAGCAATGATAAGCTCAAGGTTGCCAGTTCAAATCCACCCCAAGGCACCTTGGAAGACAAGCCTGGCAATCTTCTCCTGAAAGGTCACAGCCTTGAAAATTATGAAACAGCTCCTTACATACAAGGAGTTGCCATAAGCTGGAATCAACTCGAGTTTATTTTTTTGTTAAAAATTAGTGTACTAATTCCATAACTCAGTCGTTTAACATAAGATCAAGACTTTGAAAATTTGAAATTTCTTTCTGTCAAATAAAGTAGCTGTCATACTGCCCACTCTCTAGCATAAAGTAAATGTTAAAAGCCAAAATATATAGGCACTTGTTGTTGTTGTTGCTGTGTACTATAGAGTGGGAACTGACCCATAGCTGACCCTACCTAGCAGTGGGTTTTCAGAGGCAGTTAAAGGCTTAGGAGGAGACTGTCCATCCCTCTCCCACAGAGCAGCTGGTGGATTTGAACCTTGTGCCTTTGAGATTGCAGCACAGCTTTTTGCCACTAGGCCACCAGTACTCCAATATATATAGGCACTATGTATTTATCATAAGACCATATACGAAACAAATTTTGGTGATAAGATTGAACATTAAACTATGGGAAAAGGCATTACATAAAGGGATTTACAATAATTCTCAGAAAGGACACAACTTTCAACTTTAGGCATATTATAAATCCAAGTTCTATCACCATGTACTATATAACATGTATACTGGATTGCATAAACTGAGATAAACCTGTAATCATTTTCTTTTTCTCTATTTTTGAGATATTAACCAATTCTTGTGCTTTGATGGCAATGTCAAGCAAGCTTACAGTTTAATAAAACGACCAAATCCAGTATCTTTTTAATCTACTCAGTAACTGAGCTTTCGATTAATCTCTTGCACATCACACAAAAAGAGCTTTGGAATTATACACTGTAAACTAAAATCAATCAGAGAAAGGGTACGCCAATTTTAATAGCAATTCCTAATTCCCTGGTTTTCCAACATCTGCCAGTGTTAGTAATATTTAGCTGAAAGCTACAAGGGGAGAAAGAAACAGAACTTTAAATACAATCAAAACGGTTTTCAAAGGCATAATGTATAGAGCTTACTTCAAGATATATTTAACTACCTCTCTGGAACATCAGGAGAGCTCTGGTAAGAGCCTAGTGGTAAGAAGCTGTGTTGCAATCCTCAAGACATGTAGTTCGAACTCATCAGCAGAGGGAGAAGGATGGGCCATCTTCTCCATGCCATTAACTCCATGCCTCCCAAAACTTGGCAGAGGGTCAGCTATGGGTCAGTTCCAACTCAACGGCACATAACAACAACAGGATTATTTTCTTCTTGTTTTTCAGCCCACATTTCTGGGGGGAGGGGATCACATTCTCATCCTCACTATTCATCTGAAGGCACTAATTTTACTCTTGCTAATTAAAGAAGAATTAAGTGATATGGGGATCAGAGAACTGGCTACGGAAAATTTACAAGCAGCTCACATCTACCAGAAAGAGGGAGGAATGGGAGGAGGCTACTCCAGCTGTGCTTACAACAGGCAGAATGCTGAACCTGTTACTTTTGAGTTAACCTATCATTGACTGTTCATGTCTCTACACTGGGGGAAAAAAACTCCCATAAAAAGAAATCATTTTTGATGGTGGAGGAGCTCCTGAAGGCTTAAAAAAAAAATCATTCTGCCTTTTTCTCTCCCAAGTAATTCTAAATTGTGAATGCTTTGTCCGAGTAGACAAACTAATGCTACTGCTTACCCTGAAGCGCTCTAAGGAGAGCTTCATTCAGTCTAGCTCAGTATTTCTCTTCTAAAATATCTACAGTCCTCAACACTAACTTGACAGTGACCAAGAGAAATATAATTACCTACTTAATACTGCATTTGTCACCTCCTGGGAGCCAAGTGGCATGCTAGGCACTACCCATATATTGTCTTTAATCTTCAAACAACTGTCAAGAAATAAACAAAAAACAACCCAGGGAGATGAGGTAATCTAAACAAACCAGCAGTAAATGGGGAGCTGTGGAATCAAACTCAGCAGCTTTCATCACTGCATACTGCTTTATTTTCCCACCATAAGCTTGTTCACTCCCAAATGTTCTCTAACCCTAGGACTGTGAATGTTTATGAGCTAGTTAGCAACAAGGCATAGTGACTTTGCATCATTTGCATCTTTAATGGACTTTATTTAGCAAAATTAGGCCCTTCTCAGTAGGACTGGTAAAAGAAGCATTCAGGGGTTCCAGCAGGTCAGACACATGTAACTGATGAGAGAGAATGAAAGGCCTTTTGGTTCTTAAAAAGCACTAGTTCCCTAACACCTTGGCTGAATTACTTGATTTTGTGCACAGGGTGGAATTCAGCTCAGGTCTTCCAATGCACTTCTTTTTTTGAGCAGCCAGTACTTCTACTAGACGACCCGGCTGCGGAGGTTCAGGGGACCCCCAAAGTCAAGGAAATCAGAGAGTGGGAGAGACTGCACCGAGGGGCTCGGAGCACACAATTCCCTCCGCCTCACCAGGCCAGCACCTCCAGAGGGTGAACCAAGGCAAACTGCAGGGCGGAGGCATTTTAAACCAAGTTGATGAAATCCGTGTTTCGCTCCCGTGCCCGGGAAAAGGCATGGGCAAACCCAAGCTTCCGGACCCAGGCAAAGCGGCGGAGCGCAGGGGGGTCTCCTGCTCACACGCAGACACGGACTTTCTTGTCAAAGTTGGCCGCATAAGAGGGAGGGCGGCGGGGGGGAGGGGGGTGAAGGGCTGGAAGACCACCGAGCCAGCGAAATCCAGTGTGGGAAATGAAGCAGAAGGCATTTTTCTTTAAAAAAAAAAAAAAAAAGCCAAAAGGTAACCATCCACCATCTCCTCCGAACAACCTTACACTGGGAACAAAGAGCTTCTGTTTCAAGCAGGATTAACCCTGCCGCTTCGGGATTTTAAAAACAAGAAACTTTTCCCAGGAATAAGGTCGTAATCGGGAGAAATGGGGGAGGGGCCGACCCCCCCACCACCACGCCGTAGGGGGAGGCAGCAGGGTCTGTGCCCCGATGGGGAGGAAGCGCAAGTCCCGGTGGGGCGCGGGGCGGCGCTACCTGCGGGCCAGCGTGCTGCGCCCCCGGGCTCCACCGCGCCCCACTGAGCTCCGGAGGCCCGCCGCCGCGCTCACCTCCTCGATGGCCGCCACCGTGTTCCGACACTGGGCAGTGCGGGTGGTGAAGCTGGAAGCGGTGGGCGACTTGTAGTCTTCATGGGTCTCGGCCACGAATTCCGACACGGAGATCTGGTCCGGCATCGCCTCGGCGCAAGGGAGAGGGCGGCCGGGAGCGCGAGAGCCGCCGCCTCAGCCGCAGCGGCGGGCACCGACCGCACAGACTCCGCCGCGCCCGCAGCTCCTTCCCGGCCCGGGGGACAAAGGGAAGGCAGCCAGGGACGCCGGGGCCGCTCGCCGCAGGAGCCGAGCGCCGCCGGGTGGGAGCAGATCCGCCGCCCGCGGTGCCCAGATGCAGCCCGGCTGGCGGGAGAGGACGGGCGCGCACACAGCGCCGCGCTGCTCGGCCCCGGCCCGGGTCTGCACCGCCGCGGCTGAGGGCTCCGGTGCGTCCGCCGTTTCCGCCCCGCCGCCCCTTCCTCTCCTGAACGAACCCCGAGACGGGCGCACAGAGCCGGGTGGGAACTGCCCGCCACCCAGCCTCGGGCACCGATAGACTCCCGCGGAGAGGGGGCGG